TGCTGACCTCAATTCTCACAGCCATTCCAGCAGCTGGAAGCCCTGTCAAATGCTACGATTGACGCAGAGGGGTTGAGAGGCTGAGGCAACAACTGCCCATAGATAGGAGTCAGATCTTACTCTTCCGTGATAAGCATAGATATAGAAAACCTTCCAGAAGCAACTCTACAATTTACTGATTGTTAACTACTTGCTTCTGCTGCCTAGAGATAGAGACAAGCCTGCGTGGGAAGACAAGGCTAATTCATAAGAGAATTCTGGATGATCTAGAATATCACGTGGACAACAATGCTGTGGTGTCCCAAGTCTAATATACATGGTAAATTAGTCTTGGTGATTTAAGGTATGAGAGAATCACAGCAGTATTGGTGTATGCATACTCTTAGGACTTTGAGGGAAACAAAACAGTGATTTCCACGCAAGCTGTGCTGCTTTTCCACACGCACGCGTCTTACGCTAGCAACGTGGATGCTCAAAAGGTCCTTTGCAGTGAGGGTCTATGGCTTCAACAGAACTCAGGCTGTGGAAGAAATAGCTCTAGTTACAGGTGCTAGACAACTGAAATCTAGGCTCCTCCCTTTTCGGATGAGTCAGATGTATCATCTGCATGTCAGGTGTGTGCCTGAGGGCCTGCAGACCCAGTGTAAATTGCAAGTGAAAAATTCAGGGTATCTCAATTTGGGTGCTATACTCCACCTGGCGAATAACTATCAGAAAGAGGCGATAAAAACACAGTAATATTTATAGGGGTCAGAGAGCATTCTGAAGGGGCATTCTGGCTGTCCATATATATGACACTACTGCATATTTATTAGGCTTGGTTTGAATCACACAACATGAATTCAAATATTTATTGTTGTAGGCAATAATCATGTGTTGAAATTTAATATGTGCGGTGAAATTACAGTGTCTTCCAAACTATATAACATGCCAGACACAAGCCCCAGACACAGAGATTTCTAGGAATGACAGTAGTCTGTTGGTATCAGGTCAAACATTTCAATTTTTTTGAAATTATAGAATCACAGTAGTTCGAATAGGAAAGGACCCGTTACACTGAGTTCACCCTGCTGGCAGTGCAGCGTGCTGCGCAGTGAGAGTGGTCACATCTCGTATTAGGCTGAAAGAAATAGATACTGTATTGTTCGGATATTGCATTGGTGTTTGACTGATCTTAACTAAAAGGTCAGTAACAAGCAAAGGGGAAAAAGAATATTTGAATATAAATGCATGCTTTTAATAGTTGTTGAGGGTTTCAGGGTTTTTTTTGCACTACAGACATCATTGAAAAGATAGCCACTCTGCAAAGCCCTTGGGAGCCTGCAAAATTTGATACTGTTCTAACTTCCCCCACGCAGAGTTACATGGTCACTGATCTTAACATTCAAAAGATAGCAGTCAGCATCCATTACATACCCTTCAAGCTGCACTGGAGATGTGTGACCTAATCCTAGATACATACATGAAAGTCAGAAAGAACAGAGAAAGCCCCAGGGGCTCCTCCAAAGCTGAAATTCCTGCATCACTCAAATTCAGGCCTGCATATTTAAGAGGAAAATTGAGCCTTAAACATGGAAGCCTTTCTCTAGCATTACCATAAACTAATTTATTTGGTGAATATCCTGTAAAGGAAGGGGAACTGGAAACTTGAGAGCCCCTTGTAGGTTAGGGTTAGGTACAAAGTCTGTAAATCCAGACAGATCAGACTGTCCATGCTGAGAGACGCCACATTGTATATGCAGGTATAACAGGTTCCTTGATGGAGGATTTTTCTTTGCATGAATATCAGGTTAAAACAGACAGAGATTAAAAGGTACTCTTAGTTTCTTGCTACTACCCCTACTGCAAGCTGCAGTCTGTGTGTTCTAAAACCTTATAGCAGCACAGGGAACACATCTGCTGTTTGCAGAACTGAAAGAAGAGAGAACTTCTCCTGATGTCAGAGACACAACTAGACTCCCCAGAAGTCCCATTACTTCACTGTAGTATAGATCCTGTGTGCATTTGGGGCCAAAGTGGCACGTCTGTGTCTATCTCAAGAACCTCTGAGGCTCACCAAATCAAAAATTGTCAACATTTCTCTGCTGAAGTTCAGGCAAGTCCTAAGACATTTTATATTATAGTTTTCCTGAAAACTCTTATTCTTTTCTTATGCACAGTACACGAACACAGTCATCATGGTCTTTTCTTAAGCACAATAGATGAACACAATCATCATGAAAAAATTCTTTCCTCTGCTTTCAAGACATCATTTGTAGTGTTTCAAAGCTTCTAAGCTAGAGCCACGAGAGCTGTTGTTTCCAGAGATCTGAGCACAAAGTATCAAGGTGGCCAGCTGCGGAGGAAAATAACTTTTGTTCTGGCAGTTGTATATATGTTTAATGCAAATTCATGAACAATGGCAATGCATACAGAAGGCCCTTCAACACCTCCACACTTGCTCCTGGAGAAGTACAGTGAAGGAGGAACAGCCCTGTAGTTCATCTCAGAGCCCAGCCAGGTGGGCCTTCTATAGTAACGTCACAATTTTTGTGGTGTGTTCCGGAATCCCATGAAGCTGTATCCATACCAGCCTTTAAGAGAGAGACAGACCTACCACACTCACCTATCGTCCTATTTTCAGAAAGAAATCTATCCAGCTGGGATGTAAAAATTCTCTCTAGGAAACAACAGGTTGAGAATAACATCTCTTAATGTAGTTGTTCTGGGCACAAAACTGCTCCAAAAAGGAGGGAAGCCCTCCACTGTGATTTCGCTGTATTCCATCCCAGGCCATTCTTTCTACTTGTTTTTCTCCTCAGTTTGTTCAGATTTTACTTTCTGACTGCATCTGATTTAAAGAGCAGTATGGGTTTCATGTAGTGGAAGGGTTTCATTTCTCATTTTCTTGAGCTCCTAAAATTCATAATTTCGCATAGAACAATCACTTAAAAAAAGACTATTGCAATTTGTCGCTAATGGAACTTGCAGAACTGGAGGAAAAGAATTTAAGATTAGCTCAGTTTTCAAATTGGTTTGCTCATGAGAAGACTCCTTAAATTACTTAATCTTCAAACCGTTAGTGATAAAACAAATGTGCTCTTATCTAATCTGCAACAAATCTTTCCCAAACTGTTACTCTGCCAACTGAGGAACGTGCTACCCTTTAAAAATTTATAACAACTGCAGCTAATAAAACCAGGGTTTGGAACCACCTCAGTTTATCTTTGCTGGAACAATATGAAGATGTCAGAAAGCTCTTTGCCACATTCAGAAGAAAATTGCAGTGCAGCACAAGACTAGAGGATTTTCTTCTTGCTTATGCAGTATTACTTTATTACATTAGAGATTCAGATTTTTCAAATAAATCTGTAAATTAAAATCACAATAAGAGATGTAGTCTCAGAAATATTCAGAAAAAAATTCAGAGATAATATTGTAGGTTACAAATAATAATTTCAACTGAGTACATGCCTTTGTACTGAGTTCCACTGCCTTCTAATAAAGCTCTTGTCACCATCTAAGCCCACACCCAAGTTATGTGACTTCCCTTAGCTGTGAAAGGCAAGGACTGATATATTTATAGAAAAGCTTTGATAACTCAGTAGTTGTGATATTTTTGATGCATTTTTTTTATCGCTACCCCTATTCTACCTGTTAATAGCAAAATATTTTTTTCTATTAATCCACAAAAGCTCTCATTGCCATACTATTGAGGGTCTGTATTTGATTTATCCCAATTGTTTTGAAAACAAACCTCTTCTATTAACACAATTTCCTTTTTCTGTTAGTCAAGATCCCTTATTAAGTCCACCCTGTGTTATTCTCCCAAGAAGTACAGCTCATTATCAGGTCACTATCAACGTGTACACACTACAAATATTTACTACATGCAAGTGGACAAGCATACTTGATTCCTGTAAGTACTACTCCAATAGACTAGACTATGAGAGATACACCGCAAAAATCCCTAGGTTTCAATCTTGTCTGCACTTTCCTCTAGAACCCATCCCTTGACTTAATTAAATGACGGTCAGATCCATCCAAGAACTGTAAGGCTGAATCTAGGTTATGCATTAACTATTAATCCTTTGATTTGGCTTCCTGTTTAGAATTAGAGATCCATCCTCCAGCTCAAGAAGCTCATAAATAAAGAAATCTATCAGGCTTTGCTGACACATTGAGTAAACACCTGCAACCGAAGTGTCTTGTTCCATCAGAAGGAAATAAAAGTAATTGGTAACCAATTTGTTTCTGCTTTCTTTCATCTGCTTGTTCTTATCTAGAGGCCTTTTCATAACTTCACTCCCTGACAGCCCCCTAAAAGTGGATAAGAAATAAATAAAACATTTAAAAATAAGAGAGCAGATAAGCTACTAAGGAAAGGCAGCACTGCTAGTTTAATATGATTCCCCAATGATTGTTTCTCAGTTTTATTGTAACTGTATTTAAGAATCTTTTACATTAACTGAGAGGCTGCTTTAAGTATTGCATTAGGCTGGATCTGACAGCATAGCAGCAAAGTTAAACTAGTTACAATAAAATCTGATGAATAAGGAAGAGTTTAAACAAAAACCATAAATAAGTGAAATCCATCTCTGCTCCTTAAAGGGAAGGGAAGCCGTGAGGTAATAATTCTAAGAAACAGAGTACAAAGAAAAAGACTAGAACCAAACTTCATCCAGTAGGTAATAAATATAATAGAGACACAGTGCTACAAATGAACCTGGAACAAAGCTCTGTAGAGAGAAGAGCTGTTTTCTCATTTAGCATGAACTACTATAAATTGCTTTAGTAGAATACAGACCATACAGCAGTCTTTAAAATTGTGTTTTCGGAAGGCTAAAAGAGTGTAGAGAATTGCGTGCCGAATTCCCTCTGCAATGCACTAGAGAAATGCATGCGCATGAATTCTGATCAAGGCTGAGACTTGTACCGTTGCCAGAGCAATAACCTCTCCAGGACACTTGCACAGTTATTACTGGGACTATTACATAAAAGCTAGACTTTACACAATCAACTCTGGCTTAAAACACCTAAAAGTCTCTGTTCTAAAACGTCTCTTTTATTCCAAGAGTCCTAAAAACCTCTACACTGTGTGCAGTGTGCTAATTTGCTTTATTATATCAGGATATGACATGCACGGTAACTACCACTTCCAGATGACAACCTCCTTGCTACAGCAAAATTCCAACACAGGTGATGATGGAAACAGGCAGTGAAAGGGCACCAATGTCCCCTTAAAAAAATTAAGTCCAAAGTTACCCTTGGAGTCAAAGGTCTAGTGCGTAGCTCCGATCTTAATGGTATTTCCTTCTCCCTTTTGTTACCTCAGTAACGATATCTGCCTGCCTGTGTGCTCAGGAACGTCCTTGGCCCCCTGACTGGCACTTGCAACAGACAACGCACAGAAATGCTCCTAAAAGGCTTCTTTTGGAAATACAAGCACTTGACGTATTAAAACTAGATGTGAGCAAGCTGGGAGTTAATCGGAATTTAATACATCTAGAAGCCAAGATGTGGAAGCCACCCAATAAGGATTTTACTACTGTATTTCCCCAACTTCTGATTAAATGTATAGTTTCACAGGGGATTCAGAATCACATCAGTGTTTTTAAAAAAAAAAAAAAAAAAATCTATTTGATGAATTTATATTCATGGGGAAGAACAGCTGAATTAATTTGGGAGATAACCCTCTTTCACCTCCTTTGTTCTGTTCTCCGAAGAAAGGTTCAAATGTAAGGTCAATGAAATATTAAAATATCAATTTTATTTCCTATTATACCTCAGTCCAGAGCCTGTTTTACTAAAAACCACATTGCCTTGAGAATTACCCATTATAGAAAGGAAGGCTTTCGCTCTTGCTGGTTCCTCTGTGCTGTCTCTCAATTTTGCTTCACAGAAGTACATCCCCGCATCAGCAGAGGTTGGGTTGGGGATAGTGAGTCGTCTCCCAAAACTGCTAATGCCACTGGTTATTTTGACTCCATTTTTCTTCCAGGTCATGCTTAGTCTCTCAAGAGGTCTGCCGAGGTTTAAAAAAGACACATAAGAATGCAACAATAAAACACATATATTACAGAATAGTCTTGTCTGCAGTTATATACACATTATAAAACTTCCATAAATTTGCCTCTATCCCTGATATTTGCTATTAGAAGTAAATGCGTATGTAACTTCTACACATCAAGAATACAGACTACACAAGTGGCATTATGCAAGTAGATCTAATTGATACAGCAATAGAACTTAAGTGCCAATAATTTGATTTCTCTAAGCAAAAGGAGTAAATACTGCTATGGGAATCAGCTGCATGGGAAGTGCTTTCATTATAACTCAATTATCAAAACAATATTAACTATATCAAGAACATCTCTACCCTCAGAGGGGAAAGTGAATGAGTTGGTCTTCTCATCACCCAAGGGCCTCAACTATTCCCTTCCGCTGGAACTCAATGCTGTTCAAGGCCAACTCGATGAAAACATAGGAAGAATGCTGTGAACTCTCTATTATGGTGCATTATGAACAGTTGAGCAATAATCACTGTAAAATGAGAGCATCTGTAATAAATTACTTCATAGGAGATCCTCCCTCACTAGTTTATTTACTAGGAAGCACAGACTGTTCAACAATATCACCTTTCCTGTCAACAGGCAATGCAGCTGAAATATTATTAACCCTTAACATCGCTTTTTCCTTAAGATAATGCCTGCTCATTGAACAACATCACACTACTTTTCCTTACCATGTAACAGGTGGGAAAGTAACTCTGCCTATGTCCTTATTTGGCCAGAAAAATCAATGTGTAATTCAGTAATGTTGGACAAACAAGATTATTCGTAAGGTTACTTTCAAGAGCAAGCCACATGCTGCATTCTGCTTCAATCATTAAAATAATAATAATAAAAAAGAAAATAACTTCCTATGTCCCTCTCAGTAAAGGACAGTGCATTAAAATTAGTTCCTTACACCCCCTCCTCTTTTCCAATACCTTGCATTGGCCACACACTCCAGCGTGATTTCGCCGCTCCCTGCTACAACGCTGGTATTCCGTGGAGGGATTACAATGATGGGAGCCACGGTGTCGGACGGGTCCGTGGCACCTGCACGGGCAGAAAGGAACCTTGTGAAGACTCCGTACGCCTGCGAACGGCGAGGACTGACACGTTCCAGGCAAAGGAAGCGACACAGCTGCAAATTTCACTCTTCAACCTCACCATGGATTTTAATCTCCTCATTAAGGGGAGATCTTCAGCACGACCATTCTCGATGGCTTTCATTATACTGTACAAACACACTGTTTCAATATAACCCACTCGGTATCATTCAAAACACATAACTCGCAAGAACTACTCCCAGATGGAGCGCAGGGGCCACTCTCAAATAGAGAGCAAATAAATTAAGCATCCTAAAGGTTTTCTATTGTTGAGCGCTTTTATTTTTATCAAACGCTTGCTGACTTATATTCTTAAGACCTTTTCATGTTTTGTTTAATCTTACCACATCCATGCCATTTCAAAAGAGCCTGCCAATACTCATGTTAGTTCTTAAAAGGATTTTACACACTGGGGAACAAATATAAAATTAACAAAGCAGCATATCACAGCAACTTCAATCCCTTTTTCTTATCAGGAAAGTAAATAACCCAAATCTGCTACTCTTTTGTGAGGCATCATACTGTAAATAATTTAGCTTATGCAACAGACAGCAGACACTTAAAAAATGGTAAAAAGGCTGCTTGTAAATTTTCTCTGTATACATTTAGTAAGTGAATTAAAATACCCATGTATTCATAGGTACTTTGCTTCAAGCAACTCATTTGGGAAAGAAAAATTAGCTATTTTTTAGCTTGAATAACAGAGTAATAAAATTTTCTAAAGATACAGAATCCAATAAACGAATTATAGGGAAAAGTAATGAAAATAAAACTAACCGATGGAAAAGTAAGCCAGTTCATCAAATGTTTTCTGCAAAGGAGGCTAACCCATACCCATTAAGCAGAATGGGAAACCGGCAAATGCAAGGTACGAACCCTAACCTTTAGGATAATTCCCTGAAGAATAGAAAATGGTTAGAAGATTCTTTGCTTATCTCATACCTGGCATGCCAAAAGCCATTTGACATTCGATTTCACTTGTTGGATAGACAAAGGTTTTGGTAATGGGGCTCAAAGTTCACAAGGTTAGCAGATTTCTGAATTACTGAATCACATAATTTTTACCTTTTGATGTTTTTGTAATTGATAGCAAACAGTGTACTATGGGAGATGAAAACATATAGTATAATTTTAAAATTTTAAGAATGCCACCCACACATCTGAATAAATTCAAGCATCCAAGACTAGTACTTCAGGAATTGGCAAGCACATATTTCTTTCTCCCCATAACCATGCTCTGTTGACCTGACACAACATCTATATGCAACTCGCATGGGATCTCAAACCTTAAGGTTTTAGTAGATTTTACTTCTGCTCAACAACATTCCTGGAACTATGCTGCTATTGGGTAGCAAATCTATTTTCTAAGAAGATTTCCATGGTGGTCTTATAGGTATTCATGGCAGGAATTTTCCAGATAGTAATTGAAAAAATAGAAAACAAGCAGCAATCAGATCAGTAGCTTGTTACTGATGAGAAGAAATAACCTCAGCATTACTGTTCACTGCTACTTCTGTGCAAGATGAAGGTTTACAACAGTAAATGCCAAAAGATCAACAAACAAGTTACTAATTTGGCAGTAATCATTTCTTATCTCCATCTGGAAAAGAGGAAAACCACTTGTTTGACTTATCAGCTCCCCTGAAAAATGGCTCAACCCCACTAAAACCAGCCGAAGAGGAGAAGCCGGCTTCATTGTAACATCTAGGAGTTCACCGCGTGCGAGCAGCTCTTTGTGCACTGAGCAGATAAGCAATGGAAATAAAAGTGCACGTTACTCCACCCGTAACCAGGAAAACCTAAGATTGCTTTGACTTTCTTACTGCCTGTAACAAGAATCTAAACAAAGTATGTGCTTATTTTCACTTTGTAATATCCCTGAAACAAATCTATTAAAAGCAGGCTGTTGATAAAGATTTTGAGCTAGTGAACTAACACCGATGTGATACAGAGGGCTCATCAAAATGGTCAGCACCTGGATTCTAATAATATACCTACAAAGGTTAGCTGCAAATGCAACAAGCATATACAGAAAACAACAACATTTCAAAGTATTATCTAAATAGTACATAGACAGCATACATATTCCTATTTCATATTCAAAGACAGTTTAAGTTTCCCTTTGCAGCACAAAGAAACCACTTGCCATAATTCACTCTAGCCCCAATCCTGCCAAATAAAACTCAACAGGGACATTCCCATGGTTCCTTTTGCAGAGGGTAGTTTGCAGCTTTGTTTTGTGGCTAATCAAAATATCAAAGGAGAAATTTAGTTTTACTTCAGGGTAAAAATCTCAGTAGGGCTGTAACATGGCATCTGTGTGTCTGCCCCATCCTTTCAGAACTTCACTCTTTAGTAAGAAATCCACAGGTTGGAATATCAGAGTAGCCAGGCTCCTAATCTAGATAAGGAGTAACACTGTGATTTTGTTTTGATGATGTGATGCAGCAAATCAGACTTCAGTCGGGCTGTGGAAGGTAGAGAGCTCTTTCAAACAATCAGATAACGAAAAACTACCCAGACTTTCCAACTTTCTTATCCTACCTGTCAATAAAGCCACTCCATCCCTCTCCTCCTGACATGATTTTACTTGACTGGTGCTACACTAAAGCACAATGCCAAACGTCACTGTTAGTAAACAGACATTTTCTTGGAAAATCCTTTGTAGAAAACAATTGAATTTTTTTCTCATCTTCACTGTTCCTTTTTTACTTCATCAGACTTTTTCTTCTCCCAGTTTTCTAGGTCTCTGCTGTTTCCTTCTGGCTTTTCATCTGGCTTTGTGTCAGGAACAGTGTGGCCAGCAGGAGCAGGGAGGCGATTGTCCCCCTGTACTCGGCGCTGGTGAGGCCACACCTGGAATACTGTGTCCAGTTTTGGGCCCCTCAATACAAGAAAGACAGTGAGGTGCTGGAGCGTGTCCAGAGAAGGGCAACGAAGCTGGGGAAGGGTCTGGAGCACAGGGCTGGTGGGGAGCGGCTGAGGGAGCTGGGGGTGTTCAGCCTGGAGAAGAGGAGGCTGAGGGGAGACCTGATCGCTCTCTACAGCTGCCTGACAGGAGGGTGTAGTGAGGTGGGTGTTGGGCTCTTCTCCCAAGTAGTTAGCGATAGGACGAGAGGAAATGGACTCAAGCTGCGCCAAGGGAGGTTTAGGAAAAATTTCTTCACAGAAAGGGTAGTCAAGCATTGGAACAGGCTGCCCAGAGAGGTGGTGGAGTCCCCATCCCTGGAAGTGTTCAAAAAAACGGGCAGACGTGGCGCTCTGGGACATGGTTTAGTCCAGTCTACCCTTGACTGGTTTAATGTGGACTTGGCAGTGTAGGTTAATGGTTGGACTGAATGATCTTAAAGGTCTTTTCCAACCTTAACGATTCTATGACTCACCACCTCTTCCTCCTCTGCTTCCCCTCCTCCAGGCAGCTTCTCTGCATTCATCACTGGCCATTTCCCCTCCCAGCCATCCCATGGTCCCCTGTAGATGTTTCACATTGTTTAAGAAATGCTCAATTTCCCATGTATCCTTTATTTTAATGATTGAGCTTCAGTTTCTCTGAACGAAATATTTATTAAAGACACGGAAATGGGAGAGCAACACAAATGCATACAAGAACAGTTACAGTGAGATGAATTTGCTAGTAGGGGACCACCATTCCCACCTGTATTCTATCTTCTCTGAAAGAAAAGATCTTCTTTCCTTTCTATCTGCTTTCTGAACCCCTCCTCTCAGCTAAGAAAGCAAAGCAAGATTAGGGAAAAACACTGACCCCAGAACTGGAGCCAAGGGATGCCTCACTATGAGGCATCATAAGTCTTCAGGGAACCTGTAGGAAGCTGCAGAGACCAGGCTGGACAGCACTGAAAAACACTTAAGGGATGTGCTCTTCATCTGATTCTAGTGTGTAATACACGACTGGACAGAAGGAGTGCCACAGGCAAAAGTCCTAATCCACAGTTTTCTCAAAAAAAAAAAAAAAAAGTGTACTCTGCTTTATTTCACATGGTATCTATTTTAGCCACAGCACTCACAGTAATTCCAATCTTCCCTTTGCTTCTAAAGCTCTCATTAGACACCATCTTAATTATTACTGGTATCTACTAGGGCTCAGTAAGTGAAGTGCCTTCAGGACCAGCCCCAACCAGTCTTTGAGGCTTGACTATCATAACACCCAAGACTCTGACTCAGAAGTGAAGGGAGCTTATCTTGCAGCAGTTTCAGTAGTTCCCATCGCCGGCTGCTCATGAAGCAGTTGCTGAACTGCTGCCATTTACCACCCAAAATATTAAGGTAAATTGGCACAAGCATTATTTTTCCTTATTAGACCTTTTCTGTCCCTCTAAAAATAACTCCTCACCAGACTGTGGCATTCAAGAATCTGGCAATTCTGCACAAAGCACAGATATATTGAGGGAAGAGAGAAAGAGTGAACACCTCTTGCACGGTCTACTTGTTTTTATCACCAGCACCTGTGCATGACTGCGCAACACCGATCTTGGATCACACTGAACTTCCCCCTTCTCTCCTCCCATCTGACCAAGAAGGAAATCTGTCCCAAGTGGTCTGTAACACTGATTTTCTTCATACTGATGAGCTGTAGAATTTTTAATCTGTTATTTAAATGCAGTAATTATGTAGCCTGCCCTATCATCTCTGAAAAGACAGTGGTTTTACCTCTCTACATACGTTGCCACGTAAGGTACAGGGAATTTAAAATATTTAACTTACAGTTGATAAAGATCACAGACTTTATCAAAGTCACTTGGGTGCTTAGTTTTCCCAACAGAGATGAAATCTCACTCAGGCCATACGACTGAAAATGCAAAAGGTGCTTTCCCCTTCAGAAATGTATAAACATTAGGTTCTTTCCCAGATTTTACATTATGGCATGCAAAGTTGATCTATATCTGTGTTTGTAGTGCAGAATATCAAGAGCATTACTTCAATGGATGC